AGGCGTCAGTCCTGCAAACAGTGGGTTTCCTTTTGCAGGCATTTGCTACGTAGGTTTGTTGAGAAATTTTCATCTTCATATGGTAAGGTATATATATATATATATATATATATATATACGAGAAAACACACGGGGAAAGCTGGGGGCCCACTAACGAGCCAAGCCCCTCGCAGCTGCGTCAGGCAGCGGCATAAGATCGGCGAAACACGCGTGTCTGGGTTTTTAGTTAATACCTGTGTTGTTAGTACGGTAAATCATTGCACAGTTATATATCAGATATATATCTGATCCCGTTCGGTGATGACAGGGGCGTCATTCACATGCAGATTTATAATTATAACTAATCGAATTTTGGCCGATACTGTTGTATTGCATCGCTACATATGAAAAAGAACATTCTTCAAGTTAATTATGCGCAGTATACTGCATATGCTTGTATGTGAACGTGGTTTGAATAATAAATAAACACTTTATTTGGGACAAGAAGCAGGTTAAAAAACGAAGCTCTGAATCTTGAGTAAAAAGAAAAAATAAAAACAAATTTGCTCGGCATAAATACGCCACAATCTTAACAAGCCGCTTCAATTAGAATACCCTCACAACGGTGCGATGACCTAAATATAAATAATAACAACGTAAACAAACAAATTCAGTTTTATTCGTCACGTTGGACCTGTAAGTAATTTATAGAATGGAGTTGCCTAACACTGCAAATCTCCCGTCACAGGTGTGCGGATTTCTGTGTAATTAAGGGTAAGCCACTGAGAGCTCAGCCGACACTTACACCTATGTACGTAAGCTCGGATTTAAAATCAAGACAAGATGGCGACAAACCAAGGAATGTCGTTGCCGCAGACTCTGTGATGTTACAGTCGTTGAAAGCCTTCAGAAAAACAACTGACACATTTTTGTCCTAGAATGAGAGGTCGTAATCAACCTTCATGACTCACCTCCAATCCATCGCACACTTATTTGCCCATTTGAAATATTCCAGCCCTAATGGTTTCTCTTCCTACTGTGCCAAACATTACGTTGCAGACAGGGCACTCAAAAGTTCAAGTCTATTCCTCCCAAAAAGTGGGCTGAACTGTAGTGTCCAACATTCTGAGTACTGGGTGGTACTCACCAGACTTGGAGCCAAATTAAAAAGAGAAAGAATACAAATTACGACAAATTCCAATAAAATTTTGCGGGAGATACAGTCATTGCTTTTCAACAAGAGCGGTTGGCTTCAGCTATATGCAAAAGTTAAGAGGTCTTGTTAATTATCAAGTATTTCCTCTAACGGAATGCGAGTCACGTAAATAAGAAAACAGGATTTATCTCATTCAACATGCGAGTCATACGGACATATGGATTGGAAGAAATCAGTTCTTTGGGAAAGAAAAACAAGGTTAATTGTAAATTTTCGACTTTGGTTCCCCAAGTTGTCTTCAGGCGTGAAGTACGTATGCAAAACAGTTAACACTTAAACATGCCTTAAAAATCGATTTTACCCTGCTACTCCTGCTGTTGTAATGTCCCGATTTGCCAATGCCTTTTACACTTCTCCTCGAGGCTGTTGTACACCACATCCAATTCTGTGTGTCGGTTGATGCATGAGTTATCAGAATGGATGGCATATGAATTTATTTCTTCGGAAAAAGGAGGCAGACGTTACACAAAGCTCAGTTCCTGTTTACAAAACAGGTAGTCTGATATGAGGAATTGTTGGCCGACAGCGAAGGAGCAACACTCACTTGTTTTTTTCGGAAAAGGCAGAATCAGTCTGACATAACTAGTTTTCAAGGAAAAGAGAAACTGTCGCCCATGGGAAGGTAAACATGTGGGTTGCACAGGGACGTCCTCTAGGTCAAAGTATGTAGGGGATCCGAAGCGGTCTACATCAGGTTTTAATTCCTAAATCGGATGAGGTTTTTCGCTGCGTATACGATCCCAACACTGCTGGGTTTGAACAGAACCCTTTCGACCACCCCCGACGATATAGTAGTTGTGAGGCCTTTTTATTTCCTCCTCTGGTACGTGTCTCTGAATATCGTCGGTTCTTTTCTATGAACACAATTGCTATTTGGAATAAATTGCCGAGGAATGTAAAATCTCCGCAAAATTATTTTTTGTTTAAGAGAACGATTACTCGTTTTTACACTCAGAAAAACTCCCACAAATGTTAGCTGCTGAATCCACCGGTCGAATATGCCGTACCGATGGCGTTCGTGGTCTCTGATCCCCATGGCCGGTCTCATCAGGGAAAATTTTCTTAGTCAATGGCGGCAGCTGTTTTTCAGTGCTTCTGTTTGTTCCAGTCCAAAATTCATGAAAAGAAATGGTGACTGAAAATATCCGGTACAGTGCTACCCCTCCCTATCATGACTGTCGTCATTTCATGGGCAGCAGTTTTTTCTCCCGGACCCTCCAAAATATACAAAACCACCATCCTCTTTTTTTCACTGCTGGCCGAATTTCTGCTTATTCCTTCCCTCGCAATGCATGTGAAATGGCATTACACACGATTTGTATTGTTATTATTAGATACAACTGCCACCTTGCTGACACACGTCCCATACATAAACACAAACCATAAAATCGGGTTCCGCCGTACGCATTACCATATCTTCCATCGGTTACACAGTTCGCTTCCTTTAGCCCATTACTCAATAAAAATGTCTTTAGAAGTGACTTTTTCACCACAGCCTACCTTTACATACCCAACATCCTAAGCATAGCTCTTTTGAATGCGAGATCAACAGTCCAAAAAATATCCCAATTTAGAACTTTTGTCGAAATACATTACTCCGATATAATTTTTACTGCTGAAGCATGGGCAAATGAATTGATATCAGATGCTTCGCATATGCTTCACAAGTTATAATTTCTATCGGCCGGATCGTGTTGATAAACGAGGTGGAGGTTGCTTGATCTATATCGAAACTACCATTTAACAAATCGGTCTTCATGTTCCAACCGAAACCTTTGCTGGGAAAACGTGTTTTTCGACTGAAGTCAGAAATTCGCAAAGTCATATTTATGCCGGTGACATCAAGTGTGTTTACTCATATTCCAGGTACACCGAAAATATTTGTGTTGAAAAAATTAATGCCGATTTACTACGCTTAAGCAGATGGAGTTCAACATGGCAGATGCAGTTCTTATCATCCAAGTGTAGTTTCATGTCTTTTGGTGCTGCAAAACTCCCTGGTCCCATAATTCTTCAAAATAACCCACTCTCAGAATGCTTCACCATAAAGGACCTAGGTTTAACTTTTTCAAATAAACTTGCTTTAGCACCTCATGCAGATAGAATTTCTGCCAAATCCGCACAGATATGTGGGTTCATATCGCGCAATTGTTTCCTTTCGGAAATGAAGATAAGATTATATCAAATGTTGGTTCTTCCAGTCCTCGAATACTGCTGTCCTTTCTTTGGTTTTATGAACGCCTGTGACCATAATAAAATCGAAAATTTTCAGAGGGTTTTCACCCGGAAACTGTTCTCTCAAGTCTCATCCGGTGCTTTTTATACTCATAGATGTCAGCTGGCGATCATTAAGATTTTGCGCGTTAGAAGACTCGAAGCTGACCTTTGCTTCCTTTTTCGCATATACTCAAACTTCATTCTTCCGCTTATTGACACTCTCGCTCCAAAAGATCGGTCTTATGCCACGCGCAAATCCCCCATGGTGATTCCGCCACCTCTTTGCACTACATCTAAGCGCCCCGTCTTCTTTGCTTCCAAATATGCCTTTCTTTGGAATAATCTTTCTCCAGAAACTAGGTCATCGCCTAAGCTACTGGTATTCAAGTCGAAATTACACAAACGCCTTACAACGGAAAGTATAACGGCACTGTTAACGGGCTCATTCTCGAAAACTCAGGTTCTTGACTCCGAGAAGGGTCCTCCTTGTATTAAGTGGTAAATCAAATGAGAACCCGCAATTATCTCATTAGAAACCCCTGTTTTGAAGTGGTTTCTAAATCCACTGCTATCATTCCTCCCGCATAGCAACGATTTTCGCGGTTCTTGATGTCGTCTCCCTTATTTCGACCTCAAGCGGTCTGTCGACGCTCACGGCGGAACCCTCTGCATTCGCCGCCTACTAGTAGTTTGGTCGTACCTCCCTTCCCTACTCCTCGGCTGGGCTCGAAGCGGACTGGTTTCCATTCGTCTGGCCAATTTTACGCGAATAGTCTCATCCGGCGTATCAATCCTGTCCTGACGACTTCCGCTCTGAATCCCTTATACAATACTACATGCAGGCCAGTTCTGTCCGACCCGCATACGTACCCCTCAAGGCTGGCATTTATTTCTGCCCTGACGATTTTCGATTATAATCCATTACATACCGCCACATGCATGCCAGTCCTGCCCATATTTTGTGTTTTAAATAGAGAAGGTTCATTCCCATGTAAATTTGACCCAATCGCTTTTAAACTCCTAGGTAGAGTCTTTTCACTGTTCGCTCATCATTTTTCCTAACGGACTACAAATGCAGAAACTATTAATTGCATTTTGCATAGATTCTACCTACCTCGTCTAAAACTCATATTTTTACTTGCTTTGGTGGGGCCCCGACGTGCCTTCAATAAAAAAATTTTCGCTTATTTAGATATTTCTTCATTTGCTGCAATATAATCTCGGACCTACGAAAAAATACTATTTTCATGCCCCTACTCCCTCCCGAATGTTGTAGTGATGACACATCTCAGCCATCTAATAGACAATATATCCAACATTGAAGACAGCAGAGGAATATCCAGCCTAACTGGGGGCCGCTTACCTTGAGGTCTCCTGCGAGGCTGAAGTCGAAGCCTCACCGTGAAGAGGGCAAGGCGATGGTCGGTCCACCCGTCGACACTCGAGCTCGTCTTTGCCACCAGCACGCCCCGGAGGACATAATCCAGCAGGTGCCGGTGTCGCGACCGATTATATATCCAGATGACATTCCCTCGCATCAGGAGGCGAAAGTAGGTGCTGGACAGGATGAAGCTTTGTTCTGCGCAGGTCAGCAGGAAGAGCCAGCCATTGTCATTGGACCCAGCACTCCTCTCCAGGCAGCATGGTCTGGGTCGACGAGGGCGTTGAAGTCCCCAAGGACAGTCAACTTATCGGCCCTTGACATAGTCGCCAAGAGGGTGTGCAGGCAGCTGTATAATTTCGCCCTCGCCTCGTGAGAGTTGATGATCAGAAGAACGCAGACACTGACGCTGTTGGCGAATTTGCCTACCCAGAGAAGCAGGCGGAGGCTCATTAGACGGTCGTTTATACGCTGCGGCGGACAGGGCGGTCGTTCCATGGTGTCATACCGGAGGGCAAGGGAGATACCCGCCTCCCGTTGCACTGCCCTTTGGCAACCGCTCCAAAAGAAGGTATAGCCCGCACCCATCTCCTCCGTTTGACCTTGTTTGGAGAACCGGGTCTCACTGAGTGCAGCGATGTCCATCTTGCAACGCACCAGTTCCCTAACCACTAGCACCGGTCTGTTTCTCCTCGGATTGTTTTGTGGCCCCCTGCGATGTTGCAGATTGAGTCTCCTCTCGGAGGTACTAAGGCGATGGTCCATCCGGCCAGCGGAGCCCAGTTACAGTGTGCGTTGATGCGCACACGGATACCGTCACTTGGTTTAGCCCGCCCGTAGAGGCGGTTACCACGGTGTGGCTGCTGGGAAGAGCCTAGCTTCGGGGAGCAACGGGTGAGAGTTTAGAGCCAGTTAATGGACGCTTGGCGTAGTCTACATCTGCAAGCAAGTGAGCGACCTACTCAGACCGCCACGTGCACCCACAATTAGACACACCTATTGCTGAAAAAAGTTGTCGAGCAACTGCCCAACGCCAACTCCTATGAGACGGTGAACACCAGCAATAGACAAAGTCCTTGAAAATTTTTAAAACTAAATGCTAGCCCATCTCATAAACTCCAACCCCATACCCCCTCTCAACATACCTTTTTACCCATAAACACACGTCCGTCCTGTTATCCCACTTTTCAAGAATTTGTTTCCAGCAGTAGAGACGATGGAGACACGATCGCCACAATGTCATAATAATAATAATAATTTATTTAATGCCAGTTTACAGGCATTGTCAAGGGAAGCGATTAAACACAAATCCGACCGGCAATGAAAAAAACTCCTGAGGAATAAAAATATAGTTGATGGTGGTTTTATGGTTTGGAGGGTTCAGGAGAAAAAAACTGCTGGCGGTAGATTTTCGACCGTCAAGAAGGGGGGGAGGGGGTTGCACGGTATCGGAGATTATCAGACGTCAATTCCTTTCATGAAGTTGGGGATAGTCAAAGTAGAGGCGTTGAGGAACAGCTGGCGAGACCGGCCATAATGTTCAGAGACCACAAACGCCATCGCTACGGTAGAGTCGATCAGTGGATTCAGCACCAAAAGTTTGTGGGGGCTATTCTGAATGCAAAAATCGAGTAATAGCTCTCTTAAATAAAGGATAATTTTGCGGTTTTCACACTCATGCGTAGTTTATTCCAAATAGCAATTGCATTTACAGAATAGAACCGACCATATTTAACACTACGAGCCAGAGGCAGAAATAAAAAGACCTCACAGTGACTGTAACGTCGTGGATGGATACGGTGTCTTAAAAAGGTGAGTGGGTTAAGTGTGTGATTATATAAGAGTTTAAATAGCAAAAATAGTCCCTTTTGTAATCTACGGAACCATAAAGGATCAAGGCCCGTAAACCGGCAACGTTCTTGGTAAGACAAATGTCGGTGTTCCGGGGTTAAAATTCTCTTGGTAAAAAAGTGTTGAACGGATTCTATTTTCTTCCGCTCGGTAGCACGCATGAGGCTAAATAAAAACGAACAGTATTCCAGGCCAGGTCTAACGTACATGTTGTAAAGGCGCTTTCTAATGTTCCTAGTTTTAAAGTTTCGGAGGATAAACCCGGTCGTTCTACGTGCTTTGGAGACTATTAAGGCACAGTGCTCCGAGAGATTGAGACTCTTGGAGTATGATACACCCAGATCCTTAATAACCCCAGGCACATTTATGGCGTGACCTTCAATACTTAGTTGAGGTTGGCGGTCGTCGCCAACCACCATGACTGAGCACTTATGCCAAGAGAGAGAAAGGCGCCATGTGCGGCACCACTGGGCGAAAGCCTGTAGATCGTTCTTTAGGAGCTCAAGCACGATGTCATGATCTGCCGGCTTATATCGATATGCAACTTTAAGATCATCGGCATACATGAAAGGCTTACCATTCTGAAATAAATCGGGTACATCATTAACGAAAAGGCAAAATAAAAGCGGGCCGAGTACACTACCCTGAATGACTCCACTCCTCATCCACTTCCGTCCAAAAAAGCTTTTTTCCAAGTTCCCAAAAAAGAATGCTTATAAGGCTTATAAGTCATGGAATTAGACTTCCTTCTCTATTTTCTCAAATTCCATCTTTAAAACCGATATCAAGTGGTAGAGACTCGAAATGTAGTCTCAGAATCATCCCATGTTACCAGTGGTGTACTTCAGTACATTATCCTAGGTACACTTCTGTCGCTCATATATATTCAAGATTCATCGTCCATATCAGTTTCAGCTAAAACTTTTTTATGCGCAAACGACCTAAAACTTGCATATACATATGACGAGCATAGAGTAGCCAATATGCACAGGACAGCCGAAACCGATCTCAGAAAATTTAGGGAATAGAGTTGACAATAGCAAATGTCATTCTCGCAAGCAAAATGCTATCTCCTGTTTTTTGGCGCATGAAAACTCCCTGTCATAATTTTCGAGGATAGTGAAGTAAAGAAAGCCCACTTTATAATGGACTTAGGTCTGGGGTATACAAATACCCCTGACCTATCCGCCTTACGTTAGACAAGTATCACCAAAAGCCACTCGCCTGTGCGAATTCAAATGTAAAAATCTCAACTTAACTGCGCTAAAAAACAAAACTTTTGAAGATGTGCGTTTTACATCTCCTATACTACTGTCACTTATGTGGACAGAACAGTTCTGTTATGACAAACCAACGCCTTGCATACAACTACCGCTAATACGGATTATTGTAATTTCATTTTTTCGTTGCCACCTACAACTTAATGTCCTCGACTTTCGGTCCTGCGTTTTAAAGAAAATATTTTGACAACATTATGGTACCGTGTCTATTTAAAGCTAGATATCGCATGTACAGTTTTCAATAAGGTTTCTATATATAGTGACCTATACTGAACTGATCAGGCAGCCGACATTCCCATACTACTTAGTCATCTATTCTCAGTTAATATTTCGAGCAGATTTTTCCCGTAGACGTCGAAGACGTCAATTATCATTCCTCTCTTGAAATTCTGATCCTGTCCTAATTTTGATAACTATAGGGGCGCGCACAGAACTTCGTCTCCAGAAATTTCTCGAAAGGATAAATTTAAGTGAAATTCTTGATTTCTGTCTAGTCAACCAGGTCCGAGCTCTGATCGGCATGGATTTTTGCCTGAATGATCCTGCGAAACTTGCCACTTCGCCTTTTTTAATCTTATCACTTCTCTTCGTAGAGAACAGCAGTCGGCGGTAGTTATCTACTTTTATCTTCGCAAAGCCCTTGACAAGGTGCCACATTGACGTCTTTTGTTAAAATTGAAAGCTCTCGGCATCCGGCCTCCTCTTCTTGACTTCATGGGGTCATATCTATCCAACCGCTTTCAGAAGTAGCTGCTTAACACCACACTCAATCACAAGTTGCGCACTTCAAGGAACGGTCCTCGGTCCGATGCTCGTCCTTCTTCACCTCAATGATATTTCGACAAAAACCAGAAATTCGCAAACGTTTATTTACGCCGATGAGCTCCAGTGTGTTAACTCATATTCTAGGGACACCGTAAATGCCTGTGCTGAAAAAATTAATGCGGACTTACTACGCTTATTGTTAGCTTGCAGATTCCGGAAATATTTGAAGCATACATCTAGGATTTTCTCACGACTACTCTGCACATCGAACGCCTTCGCTCGACCCTTTGTAATGATTTCCGGGACCATGGTTTAAAATAAAGTTGCGGAATCTTTTTTTTCGGAGATGTAATAGTAGAATTCGGGTTGCTGAGTATCGGGATCGGCCTGTTTTATGAGGACTTTGAATGGGCTGGAAGCTTTGGCATTAACTAGAGATATAACTGCGATTTTTCAAAATGCTGAGTTCTGTTTTGGCAGGTCTGGATAGGTTTATATTAAACTTATAATTATATAAAACGAACAATTGCCTTTACGTGGTGTTATTCTCGCAATCTTAGAAAAATCTGTTGTGTCGAAAGTGACAAACTCTTTGGCGATAGGAAGCACGGTACTCCTCCCTGTGCAGTGGGTCATGTACGCTTTTATGATCATAAATGCGTATATGAATTATAATTCAGTCAATATGGCAGTGTTGGATTCTTTTAAGCTTCCTCATAGGTTCATAATTGTAGCTGCTGACTACTCTTGCGTATTTTATGGAAGTTAGGCTTAAGATGTCAAACACGGTTGCTCAAACATTTGCTTTTATTTGTGAGAAATTCGTGCATTTCAGTATGGTCATGTTTGATAGAAAAGGTCGCGTATTAATACGCGTCATTACTTTTTATTCATTCTGTTAGCCAAACAACGTTTTTTTATATGGTGACTTGAGAGTTTACCACAAATACTGTAATACGCCTGCAAATTCTGATCCATGTGTGAATACCTTCCGCCGTAAACGGCGATGTAATTTGTAGGCATAATATCAGGAACTCGACTTCTCCGCAGGAGATGCCGCGATTTCCTCTTTTTTCAGTCAACGACATTTATTATATGGTAACTCTTGGAGGTGACTAACAGTCTTGAGATAGTTTTCCCTCCTGCCTTGACTTAAACTGGCAGAAAATTTCTCATCTACATGTTGCCAATTAGAAATGATTTTTCCGAAAATATTTTCCTCTAAAATTTATTAAAAGATTATTTTGATTTAATTAGGCCGATAGCAGATTCGTTTTATGACCAATTATTGCATTAGAAAATAAATTTTCACCTGGTTTACGTGGAGGATGCGGGGAACCTGTCTCCAAGTCTCACTCTATATGGAGCCCTGAGTTTTATTTTGTCACTTGAGGGAAAATATTACGATCTGCATTCTCCTCTTCAAAAACAAGATTATGTGACTTAATTTGAACCTCTGATAAATTTTCTATACCAGACGTACGCGGTACTAACATCTGTTTCGATTCAACCTTTTTTGTTTCTAGCTCCGCAGTTCCAGCGCAAATTTGACTTCCTAACTGACATAAGTAAGTTATCACTAATGATCTCTGTATGCACTTAAGCACCGGCAACTATTCTTACCGTCGCCTTCCGCGAAGAACTGTCAGCCTACACGAATGACGGCAGAGAGATTGGATATTATAAAGCAAGTTGACCGTGGAAAATTCCAAAAGCCCATTCCAGTGCAGCATTGAGAATGATGGATGT